GAAAATCGATACTACGCCCTGTCAAATTCGTACGGACGTACGTACCTTTATTATTAAAGATCGAATCCGTGAATATTCGCTATATCTTAAAAAAATTAAACTCCCAATATTCGGTTACACCAAGTTCGGATAATACAAGTCACTCTCGTTATAGTGGACCTCTTTTTATAGTGAAGAATAGTTTATATAAAAACCCTCTAGATATAGTGAACTTACTAATAGACTCTCGACATATAGTAAAGAAAATCTCACAGCCCAATCATTTTACTATGACGAGAGTGACTTGTAATAATGGATCAATTTGTCTATATGACTATCTGCAATTAATCAAACGTATAAAAAATGAATTTTAATATATACAGTAAATATAGAAATAGGCAATCTATAAGCATCTGCACAATGCTATTCGTGGATGATTAAGATTCATTGAATAGTTATGTACGTACGTACGTACGTATAAAGGATATTCAACTTCTAAAAATGTTTATACGTAATAATTTATTATAAGCTTACTTTATCAACTTTTCAATTCTTCGATTCTATAAGATATCGAATAAATCTTTATCGTCAAGAAAAGTAATTATTTAATGGCTCGTATCATATTGTAAATTAATGAAATTGAAATTTTCCATTATGTGAATCCAAAGAAAACCATTAGAATTTATTTACAGCTTATGACATTTGGTGGCATATTTAGGGATGCCCGTTGTTTTTTTGTTTTTTTTTTTTTACAACAATAGTATTAAGAATAGCAAATAATCATAGTACATACACAGAATAAATAAACTTGGGTAAATACTACGTAGTACATACTTGTGCAGGAAAAAGTTCATCGGTAGAATTTACCAAAACTAAATATATATATATTATATAAAACAAGCAAGCATAATACGATTCCTTAAGGAATCAAGATTTTCCATTTTTACTTTTATCTTCCCCAGATTCCAATCCCACTCCCAACACAAAAGACGAGAAATAAACATAGCATTAACAAAAAAGCCATAAGGTATGCATATGCCTCACTGACCACGAACCTTATTAGTAAAAAACCAAATACCATATACATTAACACCAACCACTTTAGACCCTTATTTGAACGAATACTCCGTAATTGCCTTGCCCATCTCGACCCTCCAGCATGTGAACCATTTCTACTATTTGTAGTACTATCATCAATAAATGTTCCATTATTTGCAATTATACGTTCTAAATGCGTACTAGGAGGAGTATTTAGAGTTCCTGTTGCATGAGCACTTTGAGATGTATTGATAATAAATAATTGAGTATCAGATGGATCTAAAGCATTAGATTTGAAATATTGTCGAACCGAAGATTTCATCAAGAAATCATCATCGGTTGCATAAAAAATAGCTTGATAATAATAGACTTGATTAAGATTTCCTTTCTCATTGAGATTAATTGAATTAGAAGAAGGATTTTTTGTTAAAGGAGTTATTGAATCAAGATTTTGATTGTAAAAATTATATGGTACATTATATTTTGTGTGTTCAAATTTATAACATGAAATCGGTATCACATCATTGAGATGAGTTGATACCGAAGAAGTAGTGTTAATCTCATGTAATTGAATATTATCACTAGTAGTAATAGGAAGTTGAGGTTGCATAATTGGAGTAGTATTTTGACCAGATGATAAATTATTATCAAAAGAATGTTTTTTGAATTGAAAATTGTCAGGATGAAAAACTTTTGGAGGAGGTTGGACCAAATCATTTGCAGACCGTCGACGTTCTTCAGTTTTAATGATAACAGAATCTTTTGAATCATTATTAACGTCACGATCACCTTGCCATATTGAAGGAGGAGAAGAATGTAAACCACCCTCTCTGTTTATTATTTTATCGGGATCAAGATTAATTAAATAATCGCCTTCATTCGTATCAAGAGCAGAAGTAGCATGTATTTCTGACATGAAAACACCATTTTCGAGGAGAGAAGTTTTGTTTTGAACACCGAAAGGAATGGTTGAAGATTGAATTGGTTTAACAGATTCAACTTTAACGACATAATAATATACATCACCAATGATATTCATATTATTTAAAGGCTAAAAAAAAAAAAATAAATAAATAAATCAAATTAATAAAGTTACAAGTTTTTAATAATAATAATAATAATAATATAATAATAATAGATTAATTAGACCAACATTTTTCGCCTTCATTCTATGTAATAACCCTTGGTCAGGTTGTGTTCTAAACAATACTTTATTAATTTGATGAGCCGAATAATAAGAATTATATGTCTTTGAATCATCCGATGGATCAGCAGTGGTTACTCTAGCCAAAATGAAGTCTTTGTCTTTTTCATAATGTTGGTGTATAAGCGTTTCAAAAGTCTCTAGAGTAAAGGGATCCTCGGTTGTTGCATCTAAGAAAGGTATTACTTTTGAAGATAAATCATCATACTGAGTACTCTGAATATTTTGAACA